TATATATATATATATATATATATATATATATATGTATATGTGACTGCAAAAATTTGCAAATTACAAACATTTTTAAAATTGAATTGTTAATCTTAGTTGATTTAAAGCTCGAACGCAATATTTTAGTATAATATTTTTTAGGCATGTAAAATGTAAGTTAATTAGTAAAATTTAATAATTAACATATTATAACATTAAAAGGAATAAAAGCAATAAATAATAGCTTGAAAGATCTTTAACATTCAAAAATAACTGAAGTTTATATCGTAATGATAACTGTAATTACAAAACTCTCTAGCGTAATCAATCTAACTATTATTAATAATTTTATTGTAGCGATGACTGCAATTATCTATAGTGATCATTGTAATTACCAATGCGTATTTTAATGATGCCATACTTCTATTACAATAAAATGTGTGATATGAAATGGGTTTGATTGTCAACTTTATGAATTTCACAAAATTCGTCAATTATTCGACACATTCTTAAAGCAGCAATTTCAAATTATTCATGTCAATTTATGGATATAAAAAATGACCAATCCTTTCATAAACTTCAATTTGACAAGTTTTCAGTATGAGAAAAACAAAATGTTATGTATTAATATATCATACATAACTTTAGAAACTAACACCTGAAACTATTTTTTATTGCAATCAATTTCAAATTTCAAATTGATTGCCACTTAAATTTCACTTTAAATAGTCCTAAGATGCTTGGATATATAATTTCTATTAAAAGTTTGTTTAGCATTTGAGATGTCAAATATGAAACTTTTTAGCTTACATCAATTAATTCCAAATTTATTGAGCATTGAAGTGTTTGAAGCATACATTTATTTCGCTTCTTCTGATGACTAACGAAATTGAGATTCATTTTTTTGCATAATTAAGACTAATAATTATTTCTAAAAATTTATGTTTTCTTAATTTATTAATCACTTTAAATTATAATTGAACCAAATTATTACTCAAATAATATTAATTAAGAATCTTTTCGCCCTTTTTTTTGATTTTCAAGCCATAAATGAATCATTTAAATTCAAAGTTCTCAGAATGGAAGCAAAAAAGACAACAATTCCCAAATAAGTAGGAAATAATTTATTTAAAAACACGACTTTGAGGTATGAGCAATAGTGCAGTTAATGCATTTTCAATTCAGCAATAACAAGAAGTTGCATGACCAAAATTATGAATAATAATAAATATATCATATTTTTTGGATAGCATAATATACGTTTATGTGCAGCTGATTCACAAATGAACGAATGCCAAAAAATAATGAAAAAATGTGGTTGTGAACAAGTTTAGTTGGGATTAGCAGCGTACGCACAAAATTAAGCACAAACTTGTGAAGCAATCCTTTAACATATTTGTAGAATTTCATGAAATAATTAACAAAGAAAGCAAATAGTCAGATCTATTCTTTCAACAATTACAAAATGAGCGCGTTCTGAAAATTTAACAAATGATCAAATTATCGATTTATCATTTTTTTAAAAATCATATTTGTGTAATCAGTAAGTAATAACATCACAATTTATTACTCAGTTACAAAACTTAATATTAAACAAACAATTTATTCCTATGTAACTACAAAAACTTATAACTTGATGATCAGTTTATTGATTTACTGACTGATCGATTGATTGACTGGTCGGTTGGTTGGCTGACTCATTGGCTGAAATTAAAGTTTATAATTAACCGACAATATAATAATAATTTATAATTAAACGAATTTTGAATTCTGTTTTCTGCAGAATTTCAGAGTTTGGCAAGAGAGCTTTTTGTGCCAGAAAGCAGTTGCCAATTGCTTAAAGTGATTGAGTCATAATATTAATACTGCAAGCGTTTATTCATTTATTCACTAGTTCACTCACTCATTCATTCATTCATTCATTCATTCATTCATTCATTCATTCATTCATTCATTTATTCATTCGGCTAAATTTTTTCAAAAAATTTCAGAAAATAATCAATCAAACTTGGGCAATTGTTGTGAGAAAAAAAGGAAGGGTGGGTGAAACCGCGGAAAAAATGCTTGCTCTCACATTTACAGCGGGGAAGGTAGTCAATAATCCATTTAAAAAGCTGCACAGTGAATGCACTCTCTTTTAAATAAAATAAAATTCAAATATTTCTGTATACATACAAGCTTAAGTTTTAATTCATTTTATATTGCTAATGCTTTGTTAGAACTCAGAAAATATTTGCTAAAGTATGTTGCGTTTTATTAATATCTTTATCTTAATACCATTCTAAATTCAATTTAAAGTAATCTCTAAATTTATAGAAATTAATTTCGAATAGACATTGGAAAACGAAGTAACAATTAGTTACAAGTATTGTTCTCTAATAAAATTAACAGATAACTTATCCGTATGAACTGTTTAATAAGCACTACATGTAGTAAAAGCTTGTAAAGGTGTGGACTAGACCGAAAATCTAAAATCAAATCGTAAATATTAAATCAAATTTACTCTTGTCTTACTTCCAAAGAACCTGAATCAGCATTGCTTGGTAATATGATATTTTACAATTTCTTTTGAAACATTACCTAACAATATGCATAAATTATTTTGCTTCCTTAAATGCAATGAATCTGATCACGTAAAACTCACATTCAATGTATGGTTGGTAATCAAATATATACACTCCAAACGGTACTCTCAAATTCTAAACAACTCAAGAAAACTTTATTATTCCTGCCATCAGTAATCATACATTTTTTGCTTGAACACCTTTTTTTTCTTTTTTTGTTTCTACACTCGTAATATTTTTAGTCGCAGTATATGCACACCATTACTTGTAAATAATACGAATCATTGCTGATAACAAGATGTAAGACCTGAGATGTTGTGATTAAATTCGCATAATTTTTCAAAAAAGACAGACATCTGACCTCAAGTATTAGAATTTATATTTACAAGGACAATCAAAGAAATTGATGTTAAAAGATTCACACTTGACGCTTACGTGAGCGCATTCTATTTGACGCGTACGTGAGCGTATTTCAATGTTGCCAAACAAAAGAACTGTAAAAAAGATTTGAATAAGAATGACAAAAAGAAACCGATTTACTTCCCACTGACATTTTTTGGCTGCAATATACGTTTACACAAAGTACGATCACATTTTTTATGTTCAGTCTCTTATTTCGCTTTAATTTTCCTGTTCTTACTCAACTTGTGAAAATATTACAAAATTTTTTTAATGAATTGATCTTAAATATTTTCGCGGAAAAAAAATGATCTTAGATATTTTTTTTTTTGTAAATTGATCTTAAATATTTTTTTTTTGTATTTTCTAAACTTTAGTTTTTAATTAATTAAATAAATCTGAATCGATAAGAATCAAACTTGATTATTATCGGAAGAATTTGAGCAACATGACATGTAAACGTATGTAGAATGCAAAAAAGATTAACAGATTTCCTGCAAAAGTTTTGTTAAGGTTTTTGCTCAATTTGATGAAATTGTAGAAGATAGTTATATTGTTAGGAAGTTTGTTACTTTAGTTTCAATTTTATTTTTCATTGAAAAGTACGCTGTTTATCTCACAATTTTCGGTTACAATTTGTTGCGATTTTAAAAATTCACTAATATAATTTTGATTCTTTTGCTGAACAAATTAATCTACGTTTTACAAAGTACTCATTTTCGACCTTTTCAAGAATTATATGCATAGATTACATGAAAATAGTTAACATTTCACTTTCAGAATGCTTCATATTGATGACAATTTTATAAGCGACTAACCATAGTGAAAATTATAAGATATATTATTGTGTGATTCAAAAACAAGATAGAAGGCATAAGATTTGCATAGTGATAAGAAATCTGAAGAAAATGAAAAGATGAAATAAAAAGTGAAATGTTTAGAAGAGATGAAAAAGCGGTAGAAAGTCACTCCGACTACAGCAGTTCTTGCTGGTTGTAAATGTTAACTGCGCCACGCATACTTAAGTAAACAAACGTACGCATATTCCCCCCAACGCCGTGGCATACTCTTTTCTCTGTGGGGAACACTCAATATTTATTGAGAAATCTGAATTACTCCCACACAACTTGCGCATGTTTGCATCCATCACAGAACGTTGCGTTCTGTCAAGAAAGTCGAGCAATTATTTTCTCGCAGAATGCTCGGAAAGCAAGCACTCAGTCATTGTAAACTCTCTGCACTGAAAGCTAAAATCACTCAAAAGGCAAATACAAACAATAAATAGACAAACAAACACAGAAATAGGGAAGTCAAAAAGATTAGAAGAATTTTCATTCACAATCAAAAACATTCTAATTCTTCCGCTGTCCAGCGATGACTTACTAATATCGTCAAACGCCTGTATTAATGAAAGACAGTTATGCAGATGAATTTAGCAAAACGTTTAATGATCTGAGCTGAATGACTGAATAAATTCATTCACTCATTCAACCAATCATTCATTCATTCATTCACTCATTCATTCATTCATTCACTCATTCATTCATTCATGCAATTACATTCTAACGAATATAACATTTGACACTAATTGGATAGCAATTTTCATTGCGTTTCCACAAAGTTAAGCACTCATAATAATGGCTAAAAATTGGAGTACATTCTGCTGCTTCTGGTAGTTCTGGGGTTTTTGTGTTGTGTGGTTCTGGTTATTTGGTTTTCAGTGGTGTAGATTGTTCTGCAATGTTTTCTTTTACAATTTGAGACATAAATTTTACCTGGCGGTGGCTTTTTTTGACATTTTCCAGTCAAGGAAATGTGCTTTTCGAGTCAAATGTTGCATCTGGATCATTAGAGATTTACAGTAAGAATTTACAGGATTGGAACTGTTTATCACTGAATTTAGCATTAATTTTAATTGTTAGTAAGTAATTTGTTGTGCTAATCAGTTGATTAAAAACGTTTCATTGTTCTGTGTTTATTTAATAAACTCTGATAAATTTTCAGGAGATGTTATTAAAGGTAGGGTTTTCTTCCGGATATAGAATGGCAAGCACAGGAATGCAAAGGATCAAATCGGATACTTTGGTGAAGGATTTGTTTTTGAGAAAGATTAAGGAATTTGAAGCAAAAATAGCTGGAAAGGAAGATATTTTGGTGGACGCAACACCGGAGGTACTAATAATTTTTTTCTCATCCTATAAATTTCAGAAATTTGATAAAGTTAAGTTTTAAGAGTTTCTTTTAGAAACGGTATAGATCAGGTGACAAAGAAATAATGAAATATTTTAAATAGTGTGTGAAATTTTTTTTGAAATTTAGTTTTCAAAGTTTTTTGATCCATTAAAAGTGAAGTTTATTTCTTTAAATATTTGTGATGAGTTGTGTTGGAATTTTATTTTGTGTGGTCGTTCGAGCTTTCAGTTTTTAGACTTTGCGGTCGCTGGATGATCAGTTGCTTCGTTTGGCGAATAAATATCATTTGGAGAATAAAGAAATGGTGAAGGAGTTGCCAACAAAGTGCTTTGAAATGCCTTCTCTTCAGAGCGCAGTATCAGTATTGTTTGAGGGCAAATCGCTTGATGATTTGAATAAAGAATTAGCTGAAGAAATTAAAGAATACACAAGTTCGCGACAAAAAAAACTAGCAGAGCAAGAAGAAGCCCAAGTTCATATGCAAAAATCTTTAGATCAAGTTCCTACGAAAGATCCGAAAAGTAGATAACCTATAAAGAAGTAGTTTTTTGTGTTAGCAGTCATTATCCAAAATCTAGTTATTTTCAGTTCAAGTGCATGGTGTAGCCGATGTGTTTGATAATGTAAATAAAACATTGATACATTGTGTTGTTTTTGCACTGACTTTGGTTATTTTCGCATGATAATGTCTTTTTTTGCTCACATTTCTTCTGGAATTCGAATTGTTATGTTTTGTGTAATTTCATTCATTTGCTATTTCAGCTTCTTTACTGGAAGGCGCTTACTACTATAATGGATCTCGTTATGTCTGTATAGGAATTTGAGTAATTAAAATAGTAATTTGAGAAGAATTGTTCTGATTATGATTAATATGCTTTTATTATGATTAATGTGATTTTTTTTTCGCTGAACCAGCACTGCTGGTTTTTATAGAATTTTCATTTTCTTCATTTAAATTATCCTTTTAAAACAAAAAAAACTTTGGATTTTTTAAATTTGTGCTTGCTGTGCGTTGCTTATTGCTTTGGAATATTTCTTTTTTTTTTTTT